TAATCTACGAGGGCACGGCCCAGTCATTCCCCCATGGGGACGGAACCTCAGCGTGGCCACGGCCATTTATTGCCAGCTCACGAAGCTCACATCTATAAATACTAAGAGTGGAAGCCCTAGAAGGGGGGCTGCTTCTTCACCACTATTCACAAAAGAGAGAGAGAAGAGAAAAATATACCCATCTTATGGGAAGAGAAAACATCATTGTAAGGCTCTGAACCTCTTCATGGAGAGGCAGACCAAACAAATATTATCAATAAAAGCTGTTAAGATCTCTTCTCCTAACTTTGAGTACTTATTTTCATGTTCTTCGCATGGTCCAATGGATTATTACGATTTGCTATGATTTTCCCGTGATTTATTTATATTATTTTATACTCATAAGATATGTGATAACTTTTGAGCCAAACAATTTGGCGCCGTCTGTGGGGATTTTATAGCAAAATCGCGTAGTTTTTCCATGGACCAAAAGGAAAGAAACGCCGGAAAAGGAAGAACAACCCAGCTTAAACAAGCCAAAGCGGCATATCAGGCCGATGGAACTCGAAGATCTCAAATCGAGATCCAGTTCCTCTGTCTCTCATCTATCGGATGGTGCAAACAAGAAGAAGCAGCCCAGCTTAAACAAGCCAAAACGGCATATCAGGCCGATGGAACTCGAAGATCTCGAATCGAGATCCAGTTCCTCTGTCTCTCGTCTATCGGATGGTGCAAACAAGAAGAAGAAGACATCCCCCCTCTCTTTTGGGGAGAATCTTCATAAGAGATCTCCCACATCCCTGATAAGGGCTCCAGCCGGAAACCAGCACGGAGGAATCTCGAATCGAGAATCGCCTCAAGACAGCCTATAAACCCTGGTTGGGAAGACAACGGATGAGCCGCTCAAGGTCTCGAATCCAAACCGAGCTTCAGCACTCAATACCCACAATATGGGACTCAGGCCATGAGCCTTCGTCATCAAGATCGACAAAGTTCAACAACAGTTGAACTGGGACTCAGGCNAAACAAAGTTGATGAATAAAGTTGAAAGAAAGCGGAACAGAAGAAGAAATCAAGTTTTTTACCTGCCACGGGCCTACGGCCATGCCTCTCCCAGAAAGACGCCCATGTGCGTATCCCCACCGTATGGGGGAGTACGGCCTCGACCCACTCGCGTATCCAAGACAATGGGGCCGGCGGCGACCTGTCGGCTACAAAAAACGACACGAGTTAACGCTCATGATCACAAATCATAAAGAGGGGAAGAAAAGGGAATTCAACCACTAAAGAACTTACGTGCATGGTTCCAAGCCTCTGGGAACCCAGTAGCTTCCGCCACCAGATGCTTGGTCCTGATATAAAAGAAGTGCTCGAAAGGGCGAGGGTCGACCTCGTCATCCAATCTCATGACCAGGCCCCTCGACCCACGAGGGCACGCCTGAATCATGGTGCCACGGACTCTCTGGGAGCGTAGAGACTAAGCACATGCTGCAGCGTGACCTCCCTACGGGCCAATTCCGCGTACTTGATGAACATTGCCAACAATTTGTAGAGGGAAGGAGTGAGCTGACCCGGGCACACCCGTAATAACGGCAGAAATCCACCACCAGCATTGGGAGCGGGATCTTGAACCCCAACCTGAAAGGATAGGCGTAAAAACGCAGTATCCCCTGCGGTCAGTGTGGACCCTCTCCTCACTTCTAGCGAGAACGATGTCTGCATGGGTGGGAATGACCCCCTGTTCCCGTAATCGGGCCATCCCAATCTCCCCCATTAACGGGGCTTCATCCACCGGGTCCTCTCCACCGTCGACAGTGAAATCAATCGCCAGACCTCCGGGCCGAGGAACTACCTCGTCAACCGACGGAACTTCTCCGGTCTCTATCTGTTCTGCACCTCCCATTGCCGGAGGTGGCCCTTCAATTACCGGAAAATCTATCGGAAGAGCATCGTGGGAAGAACTGCCTGCCATTGTTGATCTACTAAAGAGAAAGGGATAGAATTCGGTGGGCAAGACAAAGGTTATCACAATCAAAGGAAAGAAAGGAGAAGATGAATTAGCAGAACGAAAAAGTTTCCTCAGAATCTCTCTCAGATGAACAATGAAGATATGAGAAATGAATGCCTCAACCCACCTTTATAGGTAACATAAATGGCTTTCGCGAAACCCAATAACTGCACGACCAACCGAAAAACGGTTCGGTTCTGCGGAAGCATGCGTCATTATGACAAGCTCCGCGAAGCGGCTTCTCAGCCATCCGCCAACGTCCCGCCGTCAGAATAATCGCAACGGCCTGCGAATGCTGAAAGAATGCGCCGTACGCCTTCAAAATTCTGGACGTGACCAAATACGTACCCGGCGCATACTCATTCGCTATGGCCTTTATATGAAAGGTTACGGCCATCTCTAATGTATGAAAGGCTCTCCAACATATGAAAGGCTACGGCCATCGCCATTATATGAAAGGCTACGACTATCTCCAATATATGAAAGGCTACGGCCATCCCCTTTATATGAAAGGCTACGGCCATCTCTAATGTATGAAAGGCTCTCCAACATATGAAAGGCTACGACCATCGCCATTATATGAAAGGCTACGGCCATCTCCAATATATGAAAGGCTACGGCCATCCCCTTTATATGAAAGGCTACGGCCATCTCTAATGTATGAAAGGCTCTCCAATATATGAAAGACTACGGTCATCTCCAACGTGTAAACAGCTAAGACCACCGCCGTCAATAAGTCGACCCCCTTATTCGAGTTTTTTTCAAAATCACAATCGATGAAGTCAGCTCATCGAGCTCGGCCGCAACACGACCTCAATAAGCGGAGGGACTAACTGTATGGGTCAGAATCCGATCTCACGGTAATTAACGGAGTTAATCTCGTCTTGAGCTAATCCATAATTAATAAGTGGTATGGCCACTTATTCATAACAGGATTCGACTCATGTCCGATTTAATCTACGAGGGCACGGCCCAGTCATTCCCCCATGGGGACGGAACCTCAGCGTGGCCACGACCATTTATTGCCAGCTCACGAAGCTCACATCTATAAATACTAAGAGCGGAAGCCCTGGAAGGGGGGCTGCTTCTTTACCACTATTCACAAAAGAGAGAGAGAAGAGAAAAATATACCCATCTTATGGGAAGAGAAAACACCATTGTAAGGCTCTGAACCTCTTCATGGAGAGGCAGACCAAACAAATATTATCAATAAAAGTTGTTAAGATTTCTTCTCCTAACTTTGAGTACTTATTTTCATGTTCTTCGCATGGTCCAATGGATTATTACGATTTGCTATGATTTTCCCGTGATTTATTTATATTGTTTTATACTCATAAGATATGTGATAACTTTTGAGCCAAACAAAAATATTGGTATTCGACTAATCTATTCTACTCACTATTATAAAAAGTATGAGGAAAAAAACAGGAAGACCATCAATTAATCTTGTAATCACAATTAGTGTTAAATAGATGCATTTTTATTAGGATATTGAGCATGACAACCTAAGCTAACGAATATAACGCTGACGAATTAGCATTTTCTAGTTCCTTATGCTATTCAACGAGAATACACATCATACCTACTTTTGAAATCTTAATCCCTATCAAGTTTTAGTTTCTTAGATATCTCTTTTTTATAATTTTTAAAAGTACACAATTAGTTTAAAACAAATTACTGAAAATATATTTAAGAATACAAAACAAAGAATGAATGAAAAGTGGTTGACAAGAGTCAATGACACTAAATTTTACCCAAAAGTAAATACACATATAAAGATCTAAAAGTAAAATATCATATCAATATTTTACTCTTTCAGAATGCAATTCTTATTGGATAAAATTATAATTAAAGTTAAATATACTAAAAATACGGATGAACTAATATATGAAGAATTTGAATAAAAAAATAACCTATTTTCATAAATGTTAAGAACAAATAATTAATTTGAATTAACTAAGTAATAGAAAAGTTTAATTTAATTAATTTTCCAAATTCATCATGTAAGTAAAGTTATTTTTCAGATTGACAAAACTCTTAGGATACATTAATTTGTCTATATAAGAAGAGTATTGGTGGTGATAGAAATTAAAATAAACAAAGCACAATTATTTATAGTATAGTATTAAGAGTCAAATTGGTAAAAATGCAAACTTGAAGTGATAAGGATAAAACAGTAGAAGGAAATATATATTCTACACGAGTTGCCATTAATTATTATTATTATTATTATTATTATTATTATTATTATTATTATTATTATTAATATTATTATTAATATTATTTGCATTTGTTCCAACAAATGACAACACCCTATATTTATATATTTTATGTTATTTGTTTAAAATATCAACTCAGCATTAGTCAATTTTAAACTTTATATTGTTACTTATTAATTTTTTTTTCTATGAGTTATAAGGCATACCTCTTCTTTCCAAATGACCAAAAGATTTAATTTTTTAATTTGTTTTATTTACTGGTTGATAAAAGTAATTTTTATAATATTTGTTTGTTATGATATTAAGTCATAAAAATAAAAATAATATTCATAAGATATTCACACAGAAGTCCTTCGAAATCACAATAAAGTATATAAGAATTATAAGAATTCTTTTGGCCGGATTCTTTTTATTATTGAGCTAATTAAATGAGATCAACATTCATAATTCTTAGAACTTATACTTTTCTTCTTTGCTCCCTCTATTTCAATTTATGTGAACCTATTTTCTTTTTGGTCCGTTCGAAAAAGAATGACCACTTTCTAAATTTGGAAACAATAGATCTTAAACTTATAATTTTACCCTTAATGAGAAGCTTTTATAACCACATAACTACTCTGGCCCCTCTTTTTGACTTATTTAATACTATAAATTCCAAAAGTATTTATTTTTTCTTAAACTCGATGTCCAGTCAAATAAGTTCACATAAATTGGAACGGAGGGAGTAATATTTATTGACGCGAGTATAAACTTAAAAGCATATTTTAACCACTTATACAAAAGACTATTGGATGAAGTCGTGAATAATAACATTCACCAACAGGTCCAAGACAAGAAAAATGAAACCTACCAGCTCCAGCTCCAGCTCGGCCTTTTCTTCCTAATAACTAAACCCTTTCTCAAACAACCAGAGTACGGTTTCTCTTCTTCATTTCTCTATCAATCTTCCACCCATGTCTTCTAATGGAGCTCCTCTGGTAAGTGCCCAATTTTTCTTATACCCTAATTTAATACCCGTACAAATCACTTTCCTAAAATGGGGTTTTTCTTAAAAGGGAGATGCAGATACAAAGACAAGTTTAGAGAAGATCAAACGGCAGTTGGCTTCTGGTTCTGGCCGGAATTTACTACAGGGCCCACTTCTCAAACGATCTGAGACTGTAAGCCATAATCATTTTTATTTTTCTTCTTCTAAGTATTGGTAATTTGTCTTAAATGGCAAATCATTAATAGAGCAGAAGGGATTTAGAGGATATTGGTATTTTGTGTCGTTTGACTTTTTTGTGTTGTTGTTTAATGTGTGATTTACTAGACTAAGATCATGTGGGTCAATGGCGTAATCCGAATTTTGACTCCTTTAATTTCCGATAGTGGTGATGAACTCCTCAGTTATGCTGGAACATTAATGTATAACTTAAAAAGAGTTTGTCAATTGGACTATGTAGAGGAAACATTATAGTGACTGGTGAGCTGATTCCTCAACCACAATATCAGCCTTTCGTGTAGTTTAATTTTAAAAAGTAAGTGCATGATGGTATGTGATGAAGATTTTGTTATTGCAAGTTAGGCGTTATTAAATGTGATTAAAAATGTATTCTATATATTTTTGGGCAAGTGTTTTCTGGAAAGTGTTGCAACATGCTTGATTGCAACACTTTAAGCACCTTTTATAAATCTTTATTAAGGAAATTGTTATTAAGATTTGTTTGCCAGGAGATATTAGGAAGGGTAAGGTGATACTAGTAAAACATGGATGCTTCCTGGAGAGTCATAACCTCGTACAAGACTAGCTTATGTATTGGAACTATGAAGGAATGGAATGAGTTCTCAAGATACATTGGCATTACTCTCCGAGAATGGCCAATTCAAACGATGTTACTAAGACGGTGGGTATGGGATTTCAATTATGAAAGATGAGTTAACACATTTAGATTTATGACCAGAACAAATAAGGATGCTACTATGGTTGATGTTCTCTTTTCGTTTTTTTTTGAAAAGATAAATAGTTGATGTGCTTAAAAGAGATAGAAGCCAAGTGTCTTTGGACATGTTTAGAAGATCCATTCAATAGTAGGAATGGAATGATGTGATGAATCTTGTGAATGATCTGCAATTACAAAAAATTTGGAGAAGAAGATTTTGTTATGAATTGTCTATGAAGAGTTTCGATGGAATCATATAGTGTCCATCTAAATAACAACAATGACTCAAGGCCCGTATGAAGATCTATATGGAAGAGGATTTCTCCTAAGAAAAAGAAAGTGGCTTTCTTTACGTGGTGTGTACATAGGAACACCAGTTGACGTCTTATTGACCTCAACTTTAGGTTAGAAGCTGAGTTTAAGGAACAGAATCTTTGCCCTTCTAGCTTCAGTACGTGTTGCACATCAAAACCTGTGTTGGTAAACTAGAGGGATCGTGGTCCATCACTTTTAACTAGCACTTGGCACCTAATAATTTTCTTGAAAGTTCTCTTATAATTTTTTTCCTTTTGAGGTGTTATCTATGTGCAGAACTAAATAAATTATTCTGCATGTTGCACATCAAAATCTGCAATGGATAACTGGATAGAGGCGGATCTAGGATTTTAATTTGATAGGTTCAATTGTTGGATATTATACTTTTAAAATTATTGGTACAAAATGTAATATTTTTTGAAATTTTAATGATTTTTTACGTATGTATTTGTACTCTGTGTAAATACTGGGATCAGTTGAACCCATTGTTTGCATGCTCCATCTACAACTGAAACTGGAGGGATCCGAATCCATTTCTTCTAATTAGCACCTGGCACCTAATAATTTTGCTGAAAGTTCTCATATTTCTTTTCTTCTATAGAGGTGTTATCTATGTAGGAAACTAATTAAATATTTCTAAACGATTGATACGGTCAGTTTGGTTTAGGTTTTTGGCAGATTTGCTATGACCAAAACCATAGATCCGAGTCACTGCAAAAACTATGAGTTCGATATAAGTAGGATCGTATAGGATGCTTAAGGTTGTTCTAAAAGCTTTTTGCTTGCCCCTTGAGAAGATGTTTGCTAAAACTATAAATTTAGCTGAATTTAGGCCAAGTCAAACTTTCAGGTGCTGTTTTGGTGTTAGGTATTGCCTTCTGCTTCCTTGCTGGTTTTTCTAAAGTTGTTCACTGGGTAGTGCATTCCCTAGAGCTCTATCCAGAAGACTGCATTTCACTTAGGAGATAATGTAAATCATGCGATGTCCAGCTCAGCTATCACTAAGTCAAGTCATTGTTATCTCTTTATTCATCTGTTGCTTATGAGGTCTTTCAGTATGTGTTTGGACAAAATTTGAGTTGAAGTTGAAAAAAATATATTTGAAGTTGCAGTTGGTAATAAAGTTTGTGGAAGTTGAAGTTGTGTTTGGATCGCTATAATCATTTAAGGAAAAGATTTCTTGAAAGTTGAAGATTTGTGTGTAGAGTTGAAACAAGTTATTTGAAGTTGAAATCACTATTGCAACTTAAAAATAATTATTTCAAGTTGAAGTCAAATTCTTTCCCAAAACTTGTGAAACAAACTTGGACTTGCAAATAAAGTAAGATCATTTGTTGGTGAAGTCATTAACAAATGGGTTCTTTATCTACTAGATGGTCATTGAATTTGTCATTCAATATTATATAGTTTCAATCATTTGTTGAAAGTTTTCGAAACTTCCTGATTTCTCAATTGACAAAACGTTTTGGGCTTGTTGAACAGCTGCGGAAGTGGAACGAGAGATGGGTGATATTGGATCCAACAACTGGGAAAATGGAATACAAGTAGGTTTTGTTGAACTAGACATTTTCTTATAGTTTCTAATTCTCTATCCAATGTTAGTTTCCTTGTTCAAGTTTTCTTTCATTTGGTTTCTAGGGCCAGGAGGAATGAGCCAACAATCAAGGGTACCATATTATTCGATGCCAATAGTACAATAGCATTATCTCCTGTAAACTTCCAGTAAGCCTATAAGATAATTTTTGGGATGCGTAAAAGTCTGTTTTTTCAAGACCAGATTCCTTCACTCTTCCTGATGACTAATCTTGCTCCCTGTCTCTCGGTTTCAGTGGACTGCCAAAATATGATGGATGCTGTTTCTGTATCCAACTTATGTTTTTTAAGATTCTTGTCCTATTCCCTGCTGCCTCCCTCCCCCGAGATATAAATGGGAAATTCCAAGTCGTAGCACCCATTTGGAAACTTTTGTGTTGCTTCTTTGATTCTTAACTGTACTCAGATATTGGCACTCCACAGAAGAAGGACTACTTCCTATGTGCAGAAACCCCTGGTGCAGCTAAGGCTTGGGTATCTACCTTGCAGTAAGTTGTCAATGCTTCCATTTCTTTAATGCTTTGGAGACTACATTCTCTCTTTGTTATATATTACCTCAAAGGAGTCTGTGTAACAGTGTGCCTCGCAGATTATACTGTAAATCCAAATAATTTACTTGAGCTCCTGTAACAGCTTTCCTTTTTCTTTTTTCTTATGGAGGGAGATGATTCTCTTACCAAGGGTGGTGGTTTTGGGGGTTGCTGTCCTCATTTAGACAGACTGACTTAATGATGTGTTCCCCCAGGCATTCCATTTCACATATGCCAGTCTCTTTTTGTTTGATATTACTTATCTGCTGATCTGCATATTATAAATTTCACAAGGCAGATTTTTATCTCTTTTTTTCCGCGTTCTCTAAGATTTTTTTACGGGATGTGGGAGATGTTATTTTTAATATGCTAACATTCACTCTCATTGTTCCTTGTTTTCCTCTTCCAATATGTACAACCAGTGCAACACAGCTTGTCTTAAAGGCTCACAAAGAGGCTGTGAACTCGTTAAGTGGAAATGGGTCGACAAAATTGGGAACAGTGGCCACTGTAGTTGCCGCAGCTAATTCGACTGCTCTTGAAGCTTCCAAGGAAGTTGAAGCAGCAATGCAGATTGCAATGAGAACTGCTTTAGGAGCAATGATGAACAGGACACCTGATGGTCCAATGGATGACCTGACAATAATGAAGGTAAGGAAGTGTGCAATTTCCCCCCTTTTCCTTTTTATCATTAACAGTTTAGAAGTACAAACTTATTCAATACAAATATATTACCATTTCAAAAAAAAAGTTTAGAAGTACAAACAGAAGAAAGAATGAAACGCATGCTTTAATGACGTGGAAATGACACTCTCCTTCAAAACTTAAATTTGTGCTATGTTGTCTTAGATGTGTTCTGTTTAGGGTCTTGGTGAAAAGCTGGGTACATATTAGCTGTTTTCAAGGTAGAACATGCTTTACAAGGGTTTGGATGTGACTCTGCATCTTTCTTATGTTTAGGGGTCAGCTTTGAAACCTTTAGGCTGTGTATAGAACCTTGCAGCAGTTGTCTGCCACCTGCATGTTTGTTAAGCCTATCGGAAATGGGCGATGTCTTCCTGGTGCTTTCTCTCAGGGTCGTAGGGGTTTTGTTGAAACTCTAGTCAAGACGATTACCACTTCTTTTGTACACTTAAATTTTTACTTTGGGGAGAGGAGGGGCAGGGGGATTAGTTGCTTATGTAGTGGAGAGAACTTATTTTGTTGAGCAATTGGGATAATAAGGGGCCGATCTGACAGAAAATGAAGTTTGAACAAACTACAGCCAACTTATTTTCTTTTTCCTGACGAGTATTATAGAACAGCGTACTCGACTTTTCAAATTACTTACTGGAAACTAGGATAAAATTGGAATTTGGATTCAATAGCTTCAGTAGGCACCTTTGTACCAAATCATTCATCTTCCTTTTGTTACCGACAAGCTAAAATAATTGCATTGACAACTGAAGGTTGCGCTGAACTGGATTAGGGCTTGAATGCACCACAATCATCTAATTTTTTTGGGTTACTCATTCTGTGATTGTGGCATCATCTTATTGAATGTTTAGAGACTTGGTCTTCTTCTGAGATTTGATAAGATTGCAATATCGCCTAGTTTTTGGCTCACATCATTGAGACTTCTTCATGCGCTATAAACTCTATGTGAACCTGCTATCCCAAATATAGAGGACTTGAAACTCAATAAAGTGAAGAGACTCTTGCTGGAATGCTAAGCAAAATATCCTGTTTCAATTCTTGAAGCGGTTCTCTGTCTTAACAATTCGGATAATACATGATCTTCTGGAAGAGATATGAGGAATGTAGCTGCGTTGTTGGTGGCAGTTGATGGTCTTTGTAATTTGTACCATCTTGGCAACTTTTTAATGAAATCTTTACCTTATAAAAAAATGATTTGGATAATTCATATTCACAATTATTCAACAACAAACTGAATTAACAGATATACGAAGGCATTGCTTAATTAACTGTATTATACTGCAGGAGACACTGAGAGTTAAGGATGAAGAGTTGCAAAATCTGGCCAGGGAAGTACGTGCAAGGGACTCGACAATAAAAGAATTAGCAGATAAACTATCTGAAACTGCTGAAGCCGCAGAGTCTGCTGCATCTGCAGCTCAAATTATGAATGAGCAACGGAAAATTGCTTGTGCTGAGGTCGAGCGCATAAAGGGAGATTCAGAGAAGCAATTGGAATCTTCAAAGTCCAAGGTACTAATACTATGTCAGCACCTGCTGTTTTAACATGTATATCAGTGGATATCAGCTAGTACATTGTATTCTCTGAGTCATGTTCTTGAATGTTATGTTTATAGCTGAGGGAGTTCGAAGAGAAGTTTATGACCCTGAGTAATGAAATGGATCAACTGATAAAGCAGAGAGACTCGGCTATTCAAGAAGCACATTTATGGCGTTCCGAGCTTGCAAAAGCTAGAGAACAGGCAGTAATATTGGAAGGGGCTGCTGTTCGGGCAGAAGAAAGGGCCAGAGTAACAGAGGCTGATGCGGAGGCTAGAATAAAAGAAGCTGCACAAAGAGAGGCTGCTAGTGCAAAGGAGAAGCAAGAACTGCTGGCATATGTGAATATGTTGCAAGCACAATTAACAAGGTTTACTGTCTTATCTTTGTTGAAGATTTTCTTTCTTGCCATTCACTGGTTTCTTTGAACACATTACATGAGATTTGATCCATTTGGCATTTAGGAGCCTTTGAGCTGGAAGAAGGTGTTTCTTTTTCTTAATAAGTATATTTTGGCGGAAGATTACCTTTTGCACTCTAGTTCGTTAGCTTGACATTAGGAGCTTATAGAGTTTATGTATATACGCATCATAGGCATAAAAGTGAAAGCGGCTGAAAGAGTAACTATGATTTGTTGTAACAAATCGAGGATGAATTTTTTAGCACACAAGTTTCTGCAAGTGCTTCGTCACGAACACAAGTGACCATTTTATTTTATTTGATATCTCAGTAAGTTTTCATGTTGACATGGTGGATATCGTGAGTATGGTCCTTATTATTCTTGAGCAATTGTGTCTGGTTAGATTTCCTCTCACACTTTAATTCAGTGAGAGTGGTTAAGCATTTGGGAGAGTGGGTGTTTCAAATGTAGGGTTTTCTTAGTCAAGCTGTATTGTTTGAAATGATTGATGTTTTTTTTTCTTATTTGGCTTAGAGGTTATACTTAATTCGAATATTGATTTTCCTCTTGACAGGCAGCAGGTAGATATGAATCAAGTGTTTGAGAAGACAGAGTCTTGCTCAAGTAGTATTAATAACTTACCGCAAACCAAGCATGTGGATTTATCAGAAGAGAATGTGGACAAAGCATGTTTAAGCGTTTCTAGGGCCATTGATCCAGAGAATGTAGTTGATCTAGCAGTAGATCAAACAAACCATCAGTCCGTCGAACATGGTGAATGGAGTGATATTCAACCAACGGAGTCAAGAATAGCTGATGTAAGAGAGGTAGCATCCGAAACAGAAAGGAGCAGCTTAGACATACCAGTAGTCACTTCACCTTCAAACACTCATCAGGATCAAGGGCACAACTCTCATCTGCCTTAGCTTTTTATTGCTGTAAGGAGTTCATTCCCTTACGTTATATAGAATCATATAACCACAAGTTCAGATGTTCCCAAGCAAATGCATCTTTTTTGTTGGTCTTTAAGACCTTATTTGAGTACTATACATAAATTATTGCCTGCCAGTGTGTTAATCTTTGTGCATATTATCTCTCTTCTTTCCTAACTTTTTAATTCTTTAAGGATGAGGTAGAGCCTTTTGTGATGTTTGAAGAATCTAAATAAAACGTCGGTTGATTGTGGATATTCATGCTAAATGTTTGTATCAACTCTCTATACTTATGTGGAGAGTCTAGTGCACGATTATGTTACCAAATGTTTGCATCTTATACTGTGTTATAGAAGGTTTGAGTCAAAAACTTTTATCTTAAAGCCTAGTGTTATAGAGATATGCAAATGAAGAGAAACAACAATATATAACTTGTTGAAAAAAATTCTGTTCTTTTCTAGTGAATTAAAAAAATATAAATAAGGACTGTCATATGGTCAAGCAAAGTAGTTAATTTGATTTCATGCTCAGCGACAGCTGTGTTTTCCGTATGAGCTTGAGTTCTATGTTAAAAACGTTTACACAACCAGCACACTTATAAGATAACTTTTATCCGTGCTTCGCGCAGTCATAAAATAGTTAAATAAATAATATATTTCTACGAATATATGAATATTAAATATATGATACTCGTCATATCTAGTTTCAAGTTTTACCCCATATTATTCCTATCATAGATATTTTCATTTTCAATTATTTTTCTCAATCTTTGCGGTTTTGTTGTTTTCTAGAGATAGTTGATCATTTTTCTTAATAATCTATATAAGTGAAACTATACCTTTCATCTTTATAGAGCCCGTATTCACATTTAAATCCCTCCACAGATTTCAAGTTGGTTCTGATCGCACCGAACTAGGCTAATAACCTTTCAAGGTCCATAAATAGTCCCCTTGCTCCTCATAACGCATAAGGACAACCATCATAATCGGAGTAATCCTCCACAGTCCGCAACCCAAATAACCGTGTGCCCTCCAGGCATAAATTCTTAGTTTAACGACATCAGCACTATTATGAAGAGTTGAATCAATAATTTATATTAGACGGATTTAACTATAGTGTCTACCATGAACCCACTACATTTTTGAAATTATAGGATAAAAATTATGTTCTTTTTGAAATTTTAGTGATTTTCACTTATATATCTATACTCTGTGCCGAAAATAAGGCAGTCTAGAGTGGGATTTGAATCGTCAATTTCACGGCCAAGTAATTATCGCAACCATAGGAGTCTTTGAGCATGAGTGCATGTACATATATTTTAGTAGTTTTAAAAATATATAATATTGTTATACATGATTTAGGGAGAGAAATATGGGTTCATGTAAACACATATGCATTAACCTAAATACGCCCCTGACTATGTGGTTAATCGTGTCCACCGATCTATCTCTTTTATTTATTTTATTTTATTTGTATCTATCTACGATGGGTTAGCATAGTGCGCTATACAGGGCCAAACAATATTTCGCCAAGGTTTCAGTTCATCTTTTTACGGCCCTTACCGGACGCTAATGGATAAGCAATCCTACAACTTAACCACTCCAACGACGGCCTGGGTTCCTTTTACTTTTAAAGAACTTGTCCACATTTATCTTTTCTTGGACTACTTCGACAATGCATTAATTTTCTTTTGCATTTTCTCTATCAAATTCAATTTTAACATGTTACTGGGCGTCCAAAGTATCAATATATGGAGTAATCACCGTAGGGAAATGACACGGAAAAATAACAATAATAATACTGCAATAATATTATTTGTAAGCATACACACGAATTGGCTTGAGTCGTGCTAGGCACTGTCCTAAGAAACTATTTCAGCAATGTGAAATGTTTCCCCATGTCACGACCCGGATTTTCCGCCCCCGGGAGTCTTGATGGCGCCTACTCGTAGAAGCTAGGCAAGCCACGAAGTTTAGAAATCTTTAACTCTTTCATTTTAATCCCTTTTAACAACTTGCATTAACAGGTAATGAACATTTAAATAATAGCGGAAGATGAAATTTAGCGGAAGACATAGTCTGATATAATGCCAAAATAAATATGAAAATGCCAACGTGCGTCTCTACCCAGAAACTGGTGTCACAACATTCACGGACCGTCTTACAGATGTCTGAAGAAAAGAAATACAGTCTGTCTCGGATACAAATGAAAACAGAACATATATGAGTAGATAGAAGAGACGCCGGGCCTGCGGACGTCTGTAGGGCTACCTCGGGATCTCTGTGGACTGAAGGCTGGCTCCTCAAGTGCTACTGCCCAAAAGCTGCTCCGGTATCTGCACATAGTGCAGAGTGTAGCATCAGCACAACCGACCCCATGTGCTGGTAAGTGTCTGGCCTAACCCCGGCGAGGTAGTGACGAGGCTAGGACCAGACTCCAGATAAACCTGTGCAGTTATATAATATACGGCGGAAAAATAACAGAATAACAATCTAAATGGAAGGGGGGTTACATGCTTCGGGGAAACGTATCAAATCCAGCAGAAACTTAAGAAAAATATGAAAGAATAGCTCAGAATCTACAGCACAAACAATGATAATAGCTCTGTTGCGGCGCACAACCCGACCAAATATAACATTTAACAATGTTGCGGCGTGCAACCCGATCCAATATAACATTTAACACTGTTGCGGCGTGCAACCCGATCCAATATAACATTTAACACTGGTGCGGCGTGCAACCCGATCCAATATAACATTTAACACTGTTGCGGCGTGCAACCCGATCCAATATAACATTTGACACTGTTGCGGCGTGCAACCCGATCCAATATAACATTTATTGCGGCGTGCAACCCGATCCATATTTAGCATTTGTTGCGGCGTGCAACCCGATCCATATGTATATAATATCAACAACCCCGATACCAAGTATCCCGGCAAGGGATCATCAATAACTACTCTGTCCCGGCAAGGGACTTAACAGTAAAATAAACACGTCCCGACAAGGGAGAATCAGCTATAACCAATCTTAACTCAACTCCTACTCATCTCAGATAACACCAATACCCAATCACAAGTACTTTCCACGAAAACAAACTCAATCCTTACTCAATATCGAGAATCATCAATTAAAGCATCTGTAGTATCATTTAAGAACATAACAAACTACTCCCTTTGTTCCATTTTATGTGAACCTATTTCCTTTTTGGTTCATTCCAAAAAGAATGACCCTTTTCTAAATTTGGTAACAATTTAGCTTAAACTTACAATTCTACCCTTAATGAGAAGCTGTTATAACCACACAAATACTCTGGGCCCCTTTTTGCTTTATTTAGGACCACAAATTCCAAAAGTTTTTATTTTTTCTTAAACTCCGTGCCTAGTCAAACAGGTTCACATAAATTGAAACGGAGGGAGTACAATTTAAGACTCACGGTCATGCTCGACACCAACGTATAGATACTCGTCACCATGCCTATATGTCGTACTCAACAAGAAATAATTAGCAAATATGACTCAACTCCTAATCCCTCAAGCTAAGGTTAGACCGAACACTTACCTCGAACTTCCACGGCCAACTCAATCCTCAAACACCGTCTTTCCTTTCGAATTCGGCTCCAAATCGATCGTATATATACATAATCGACTTCATAACATCAATAAATGCTAAACAATTCAATTCCAATGCCAAATTATAGCTTGCTAATCATTCTTCCCAAAAACTCAAAAATCGACCCCGGGCCCGCTTAATCAAAACACGAGGTTCGAACCAAAATCCGACCCCCATTCACCCGCGAGCCCAAATATATAATTAGTTCCAAAATTCGACCTCAAAACTAGGTCTAAATCACCATTAATCAAAAAGCCCTAACTCTACCCAATCCCTAATTTTCTACCCTTAATCTCATGTTTTAGGCCTAGAAATCTAGTAGGTGTTGATAAAAATGGAAGATAACAAGTTAGAAATTACTTACCCAAGAGATTATGGTGAGGAAATGCTTCAAAAATCGCCTAAGAGCTTTGGAGAAGAAGAGGTTTATGAAATTTTGTAAAAATCCCGTAAGTGTTCTGTTTTGGGTCTTTCAAAATAACTGGGCAAAAATGTTCTTCGCGTTCGCGACAGACTCATCGCGTTCGCGATGAGTCAGGCCTCCAGGCCTTCGCTTTTGCGTGAACGGGCTCGCGTTCGCGGAGAAGGATCTCCTCAAGCCCTCGCGTTCGCGTCCAATGGGTCGCGTTCGCGTAAGACAAATGCCCCACCCCCTGCCCAGGCCACTTGGCCTTCGCGTTCGCGTGGCCAGGACCGCGTTCGCGACCTGAACTACGCGTTCAAGTAGAAGGAAATTCCTTCAGCATAATTAATGCATCGCTGTTCGCGTGGGTTCTCCCGCGAACGCGAAGAAGAAAGCATCAGTATAGCAGATCAGCTGTTTCTGTAATTTTTCTTAAGTTCAAAACTTCCCGAAACACACCCGAGCCCTCGGGGCTCCTAACCAAACACACGTACTAACTCAACAACATCATACGAACTTATCCCTGCGATCAAATCGCTAAAATAACCTCAATAACAACAAATTAAACCTCAAAATCAAAGAATTTTTCTCAAACTTCATAAAACATCAACTTTAGCAATTTAGGTCCGAATCACGTCAAACGACATCTGTTTTCACCAAATTTTACGGAACTGTCTTAAATCATATATAAGACTTGTACCGGGCACCGGAACCAAAATACGGGCCGGATACCACCATGTTCTAATCAAATTTTATTTCAAAATTGTTTAAACACTTTCAGAAAACAATTTCCTTTAAAAAATTATTTCTCGGGCTTGGGACCTCGGAATTCCATTCCGGGCATACGCCCAAGTCCCGTATTTTCCTACGGACCCTCCGGGACCGTCAAATCACGGGTCCGGGTCCGTTTAGCCAAAACGTTGACCGAAGTTAAATTAATTTATTTATTAGCTAATTTTTATAATTTTTCACAGATTTTCATATTAAAGCTTTCCGGCTACGCGCCCGGACTGCGCACGTAAATCGAGGTGACTTTAAATGAGGTTTTCAAGGCCTCGGAAACACAGAATTTAATTTAAAAGGAAGTGATGACCTTTTGGGTCATCACATTCTCCACCTCTAAAATAACCGTTCGTCCTCGAACGGGACAGAAGAACGAAGTACCTGAGTCGGGGAAAAGATGGGGATAACGGCTCCGCATATCGAACTCGGACTCCCAGGTCGATGCCTCAGCAGGCTGACCTCT